AGTATCGTGCAGCCCTAATATATATTTATATATATATATATATATATATATATATATATATATATATATATAATGCGTACATAAGGCATATAGCATAAAGCTAATTTGCAGCTCTTGTCCCTGGTCAGGCTTTACATGAAAAAAAAAAAAACAGTTAAAAATAAAACACAACACAACAAACATGTACAATATATACAGAGCCACAAACATGAAATGCAAGTCAATCTGCATAAAGAGAAATGTGTGTGTGTGTGTATATATATAAAATATTAAAATTGCAAAGCCTATGAAATAAAACAAGGCTAAGATCAAATAAAGAACAAACAATTAATCATGCATTGATGAATCATTCACTATATAAAGGCAATAATGTAAATTCAGAAAACAAATATCTCTGATTTAATGCCAGCGTTAAATATTTAAAACTTCTTTTCAACATTCTTCAAAAACAAATCCTAATATTTGATGCACAATGCATCGACTTGTGTTGTATTTTCTCAGGTGCTGGTTAAGAGAAGTGATCCTGCAAAATGATCATGTGCTCTTGACATTACAGCACTCATCATCATGAGCAGAAGAGCCTCAGCTTTTAATATTAAAACACATTGATTCAGATGATCAGGCTTGGATGTGGGTCAAAGAGTTATAGGCTTTTACCACATTACTGCCTCCATAACACATTAAAATGTATAATGCGAAGATTATAGAGCTGTGGAATGAAATCATAATGGTTTTCTTCGTTGCTCTTGCAATGATTCATTCATATAATAAAGCTTTGAATGTGAAAAACACAACTCATGGACTTGTCAATAAATAAGCAACATCTAATGCAGGAATGAGATATTTTGACATGCATTTTACTTTAAATACATGCAGCAAAAAGGTCAAATACGAGGCTGTTTTAAAGGTGACCTATTATGCATCTTTTGATAAGACCTAAAATGAGTCTCTGATGTCCCTGGAGAATGTATGTGTGAAGTTTCAGCACAAAATAGCACACAAATAATGTTTTACAATGCTCTAAATCTGACCCTTTTAGGCTTTTACTCTATTTGTGGTGTTTTAGTGACTGTCGCTTTAAATTCAAATGAGATTGTGCTCTTTTCAAAAGAGGGCGGAGCTACAGCAGGGTGTTTCAGAAGACCCACCCCTCAATGACAAAGGTTCAGAATTTGTCCCATACATGAGCTCGTTTGTCCTATTTAGACTGATATGCTCTCATAAATAGTGAAAATAGCCAATCGAAAAATGCTTTAAGACCAAGCAGATACCTGGTGTGACTTCCGCTAATCAATTTTGACCAATGCAATCAATTATTTTTCATGAGTCCAACAAACAGCTGTGCAAGAAAACATCTGTCATACAGTAGCCAAAGCCATCTTTAGCTACTGAATTGTTTTTAAATAGAAAAAACATTTGACAAATAACTTTTATTTTAATTCTCTGACCTTTTTCTTGAAAGAAAACGACCAATAAAAAGTGTGAAGCACATTTACAAGAGAGGCTAAAAAAAGTATGAAGCTCTAAATTATTGTTATTATTATTATTATTATTATTATTATTATTATTATTATTATTATTATTATTATTATTATGTGTACATTTTTATTATTCAAATAGCCACATTCTGACTGAGGAAAGTAGAATTTGCTGGTTAGAGTAGAACTATCATAGTACGATGCATCGTTTGTGAAACGAACGATGTAGTGACGAGTGTTTCCCAAAACGCATAGTTTCTCTGTGGCAGATCCATCGCTTTAACCACGTTAGTTATAACGTAAAATGCACATAATGATGCTCTAAACTGGGTGGAGTAACAACTTCTTTAGAGAAAAAACCCTTAATTTCTTTGTGTATATTATATTATTTTACACAAACAGGCATTTAAAATAAAATGCAATATTTGGTAAAAATATGCACTCGCTTTCCATATTAACTGAACATATGTGAATGGCACATAGGGCCTATGTCTGCTTTACTAATATTACTGAGAAGTTGAACATTATAATATTCTACTCTAAAACATATCACTTACAAAAGCTAACAGGTATTCTAATATCATATATAAATCATATAAATAAATAAATAAATAAATAAATAAATAAATAAATAAATAAATAAATAAATAAATAAATAAATAAATAAATAAACAAATAAATAAATAAATAATGAGGCGATTTATTATAAAATGAAATGTAATATTTATTATTTATTAGAAATGAAAAGAATCATAATTTAATAATAATATTAATGATGATTATGATATTAAAAATAATAATAATTATTATTATTATTAAGTAGGATATACTTTATTTATTTATTTTAAAAGTCTACTTTTACAATTTGACATGTAAACCACTGCAGAAAGTTCTAACCAGCAGGCCCATGTCATATACAGTACAGATACTTAATAAATAACCCACTATCAATTAAAAGAATTAACGTTTGCTTTTTGTTTCCACAAGCTTTGGAGACGTAACTTGAATTCCGCTTTTAAATAATAGGTCACCTGTAGCTTTCGCCATGAGGCGATGTTTTTAAAGTGCACTGCGAAGGGAGCACAATTGTAAATATGAAGATCGCTAAACCTGAACTGTAGAAATAGTTTGAAAGCAAATTACACCTATGAGAGATGAGGTTACTGCTTTTTATTTTTAATAATTCCAACTTGCGTCGTTAGTTGGCTAACAATGGTTTTTGGAAACGCACCCCTGTTTGTTAATTGCCTAATAAATTACAATAGGCTTCAGTTTTTAATTTGATATTTTTCTAATAATATATCATGTAATAAATCTGTATTTTAAAAATAAATATTTGTCAATTTTTTTATTTTAAATATTTAGTAAATACATCAAAATTTGTGGTTATGATGACCATCCAACAAGCTAATTCAGCTAAAAATAGTGCTGAAAATATGCAACTAAATGCAGTATTTAAATGTCATAATTAAATAGAAAATGAGCCGAATAACTGCAAAAAGATTCATTTGTTGAAAAAATGAACCACCTCTTTAACCAGACTGGCTACAGACCTGGAAGTTTGCAGTGTTCATTTGGGCTGCTTCTTACTCAGGGCTGTCTATGCTAATGAAAGAGAAATTGTCACTAGTGGGCGGGGCTTTCCCCCTGTGATGACACGTTCAAGAGAGAATGTCAATGGAAGTGTTCCTGCAGACTGTTCTTATCAAGTGTAATTGTAAAAAAAAAATACAATAAATAATTTTTTCACACAAATCTGTGTTTAAACCATATCCTAAAACTGATTTTTGCTTTGTAGGCCCCCTCTAAAAGCGTCTCTTGTCAAATATAACAATAATCCATTCAGATATGAGCAGCATCACAGCTTTGATCCAATGCATTATCCCTGATTTAATCCCACCGGCTCTGGCATGAAATCTGACCCTTCCGGTGCGATCAAAGCAGCATCACCTTCTCCTGGCAATTTCAGCATCCAGAGCACTCAGAGACAGCTCCAAATCACAAAGCTAAGTGATGGAAAGAACTTTTCTCCACTCGATCTTGGATTTCAGTCTCCACACCCTACAGCGAACCTGGAGAATTATTGCATTCAATAACCCTGATCATTAGGTGCATCATAAGGAATTCATCGATAACTGCTAATAAGTTGCTCGTGCATGGTTGGTTTGGTTAAATCAGTCTCTCCGGGTGCATGCATTAATCATAAAAGCCTGTCAATTGCTATTCAAAAGGTGCACATCATTTGAAACGTGTGCAATAATTGACTCGCAGACAAACAGCGGCTGACGCACGTACAATCCGCTCGTTTGACACCGTGAATGACCAGTGTGCAGTTGTGAACATGTAAAATGCATATATGTGACAGATGAATGCATGTCGGTGTCTGTCATGTGTGTGTTTACGTGCGGCGGAGCAACAGGCGACATGCGTTTGTCTCTTACCTGCGACAGAAACACTCATCGATCGCCGCATCCGTGACTCTCACATCCTCGGGGAATCATTCAGACATCAGATCAGACGCTCTCGGTCCCTATTTCATCTCCACTCTCGCATATTTGGAGGTTGTTGGCTGATGTTCGTGGCAAAAGCCACGGGAGTAACTGGGAGGGGTTCGATCGCTCCGTGGAAGTGGCGTTCGATTCGCGAACGAACGGTTCTTTTGAACTGATTCCTTATAGCAATTCAGTCGAGTCGATTCATCAATCACTGCTGTGTTTCTGTATTAGAGTGGAGATAAATTAATGTTCAGTCCAAAAGATTAACATTACTATCATTCATATTTTGTTTTTGGAGCAATTCTTCAGAAATTAGTCATCTAAACTGCACGTTTTGATCTATGGTGTCTAGTCAAACACCTGTTTGCTCTTATAGTAGTTCAATAGCAATATTGTTGTTTATGTCTTAGACGCTAACGTTAGCATAACTGAGTTAACACAATCTACAGACTACATTGGTGACCAAACACAGTGCTAAAACGCATTAACTTGTATGAACACTGATCAAACTACGAACCATCTGAATGAACCGATTCTGTGAACTGAATCGAACATTGCAAGCTGGATTCTGTCAGCAGCGCGCGCGTATGGCCGTGTGTGTGCGCCTGCGTTTGTGTGAATAATTAAAGCTCATTTTTTGATTAATCTGCGAAATAATACCCATTCTGACGGATTTCTTGTAAATATGATATAAGAAATTCAAGCTGAAACTCGTTTTGAGGCGTGCTTTATTCTAAAATGTTCGACTTCTGAAAAGTAGCCAGCGTGGTGTCCATTGTAAAACGATTTAACGAGGAAAACTCTTGGAGTGCTTAAATTATAATAAAAGGCATTGTAATTGTTTTTAATATTTAACTTGGTTTTACCCAGGTATATGGCGTACTGTACCCCAGCAAACAATTTTGTCTAATAGACGTCTAATAGACATCTAAACGGAGACAGCTTTGCTTAAACAAGGCTAAAATTGGGCCAAATATAGCACAAAACTAGACTAGTCGTCAAATAGAGATTAGACACACTTTTTATGTGTAGACATTCATTTCTGTTTAGTTTTAACCTTGTTTTAGCCAAGATGACTGAGTTTAGACGTCTATTAGACATCTATTGGACATCTTTTAAAAACAAAAATGCTTGCTCTTGTCTCTTAGAAAGAATTAATCACAGATTTATTACAGTAAAAAGCGCAGTAACCATGTTTCTGGCAGATTAATGTGTAAAACCACAACCATAAATACCATGGTTAAACTAAACCCACTGTTCATTTGTGGTTAAGCCAAGATTTTCTGCTTTATTTGAAGCTAAACCACAGTCAACTTTTATGAGTGGTACCTTGGAATGGTACATTTTGAGCAATGTAGAATGGGGATACTTTAGTTTTAAGTCAATGCAGCATCTGTAAACAAGTGCACAGTTAAATGTACATTAACTATACACTATGTGGCTTGTTGTTCTGCTATATGGGGCCAATAGTATCAGTAAACATCATCTTAAGTGTACATTTACACAACATAAGGCAAAATCATTATCAAACAAATAATCCCTGTTTTACAGATAAGAAGAAATCACTAAATGCTGTATTTCTTATGGTGATGACATTAAAAACATGCATGCATATGGTCATGTATCCAATGTTCAATTGGATTTTAAGTACTTGTTCATACCTATAACACATAAGACTACACTTTAAGTGTTTAAAGTGTGTTTTAATGCAATATTTGTCAATAATTGGTTTTTATTCTGAAGTACAGGCAGCACAAGGGTTAAAAATCACAACTAAATGTTTGCAGTGTCAAACTCCCACAAGAACTCACACATGAGCCGTCCTGCTTTCGTCCTTGAGATGGTTTTTAACCTCTGTGAACTCTGAGGAACGCCTGCATGTGTGTGTGGACATCGGCTAAATGACACATTAATAACATAAAAGCACTCGTGATCAATTATAACTCCACGGTTCAGTGACTGTTTTGATGGTTTTACAGTAAATACCAGCGCGCGGCATGTTTAATACACGAGGAGCTGCTGTCTGAGTACTCACTCAACGTCAGACGCTGGAGAAAACCAACAATTAGCTGTGCTTTTCCTGATAAACACAGTCTGTCTGAGAGAAAGGCAGATCATCCGTTCACAGCCGAGCTCAGAATCCTCCAGATATCAATCACTCCAGATAATTAGTAAAGGTGATCAAACGCCGTCATGACAGAAAAACATCCATCAGCAGCAAATGAACGGCTCTTTAAACCAGCCACACTTGAGGCCTCAAAAACACAATATATCAGAAATGTCATTTCACCGCAGATATAATTGAGTGTTTCGTGCACTTTCCGGCACCCTACACTTGTTTGTTGAAGGAAAAAATAGGCTCAGTAAATGCTCCATAGGCAAACCAATCGCAAAACAAATATGCATCAAAAACAAGCCCAATGTTATCAGATTTTTATAATAATAAATCAATTTGAACTATTATTATTTATGCATTATCATTAAATCAGCTTTTAATAGCTTAAATAGAATTTAATTTGAATCTGTAATGCAAAAAAAGGAGTTATTTAAGAGAAATAATGAAATAAATTAATATTAATATTAAAAAACAGTCAAATATTTACTGCAGAATAAAACAAATGTTGACTGTAATGATTAATGTAATGAAAAATGTGTTTTAAAATGCATTAGAGAAAGCAAATAAATGTTAAAAAAATATGATAAAAACCCGCAACCCACATCTTATTTTATTTTTTACTGGAACTTTAAAAAGAAGGCCAAAATTGCAAATTTAACCAGCCCTCATGGGAAATATGTGGATAATTTTTGACAAAACGCAAAATACGTTGCTCTAGGTATGTTTTGTTGCACGTTTCGGATGGCAAATACACCAGAGGGCGCTGTCTATATTTTTGTGAATATGAAATACGTTACTAAATGTGTTTTGTTAAAAGTTTCAGAGGACAAATACACTAGAGGGCGCTGTCTATACTTTTTAAAATCTGAAATAAGTTACTTTGGGTACATTTTGTTGTACATTACAGATAAAAAATAAAAAATTCACTAGAGGGCGCTCTCTAGATTTTTGCAAATCTGTAATACGTTACTTAGGGTATGTTTTGTTGTAAGTTTCAGATGACTAATCCACTAGAGGGCAATGTCTACATTTTTGCGAATCTGAAATACGCTTCTAAAGGTATGTTTTGTTGTACGTTTCAGATAAAAATTACTAGAGGGCAGCGTCTACATTTTTGCATATCTGAAATACGTTACTTTGGGTATATTTTGTAGTACATTTCAAATGAAAATCCACTAGAGGGCAGTTTCTATATTTTTAGCAAATCTGCAATACATTATTTTCCCAGAGATGGGTTGCGGCTGGAAGGGCATCCGCTACGTAAAAACTTGCTGGATAAGTTGGCGGTTCATTCAGCTGTGGCGACCCCAGATTAATAAAGGGACTAAGCCGACAAGTAAATGAATAAATGAATGAATGAATGAAATACATTATTTGGGTGTGTTTTGTTGTACATTACAGATGACAAATCCACTAGAGGGCGCTGTGTTCATTTGTAAATCTGAAATACGTTATTTGGGTGTATTTTGTTGTGCATTAGAGATGAAAAATCCACTGTAGAGCAACGTCTACATTTTTGCAAATCTGAAATACGTTACTTAGGATTTGTTTTGTTGTACGTTTCAGATGATAAATCCACTAGAGGGCGTTGTGATGTCTACCTTTAGGCAAATCTGAAATACATTACTTAGGGTATGTTTTGTTGTACATTGCAGATGACAAATCCAGTAAAGGGCGCTGTCTACATTATTGCTAATCTGAAATATGTTACTAAAGGTATGTTTTGTTGTATCTTTCAGATTAAAAATTATTAGAGGGGAGTGTCTATATATTTTTTGCGAATCTGATATACATTATTTGGGTGTATTTTGTTGAACATTACAGATAAAAAATTCACTAGAGGGCGCTGTCTACATTTTTGCAAATCAAAAATACGTTACTTAGGGTATGTTTTGTTATACAAGACAGATGACAAATCCACTAGAGGGCGCTGTTTACATATTTGCAAATCTGAAATATGTTACTAAAGTTTGTTTTGTTGTACGTTTCAGATGACTAATCCACTAGAGGGCGCTGTTTACATATTTGCAAATCTGAAATATGTTACTAAAGGTATGTTTTGTTGTACATTTCAGATTAAAAATTATTAGAGGGGAGTGTCTTTATATATTTTTGTGAATCTGAAATAAATTATTTGGGTGTATTTTGTTGTAAATTAAAGATAAAAAATCCACTAGAGGGCGCTGTCTACATTTTTGCAAATCTAAAACATGTTGTTTTGTTGTACGTTTCAGATGAATAATCCACTAGAGGGCAACGCCTTGACTATTTACAATCTGAAATAGGTTACATGTGGTATGTTTTGTTGTACATTACAGATGACAAATCCACCAGAGGGCGCTGTCTACATTTTTGCGAATCTGAAATATGTTCCTAAAGGTATGTTTTGTTGTACATTTCAGATTAAAAATCATTAGAGGGGAGTATCTACATATGTTTTTGTGAATCTGAAATACGTTATTTGGGTGTATTTTGTTGTAAATTACAATTAAAAAATCCACTAGGGGGCGCTGTTTACATTTTTGCAAATCTGAAATATGTTACTAAGGGTACAAGGGTACAGAAGACAAGACCCAAAGCTCTAAATTAATTTTTAGGTGAAAAACATCTGTCTCCAGTTTATATTTAATTTCGACGAAAAATTTGGACGAAAGCATGCATTTCCAATGAGCCCGTGTTGTGTGGATTCTGAGTGGACTTGGCAACTCTCAGTAGTGCAGCTGCAGCATTATGGCTTGATATGATTTTCAAGACTCAGATTGGCAGGTTGCCTGTGTCGCATGTTATCTAGCGGGGGTTTTTCCTCCTGGCATCGATACATTGAGTTTGATTGGCAAAGAAACAAAACAAACAAAAACAAAACAATGACAGACAAACCCAAACCCCAAACCGCTCCTTCATTAATTTGCAAAGGGACTGATTTGGAACAAGACATTTACATTCCTGCTTTTTTCAAAGGTCACGCTTTGTAGCACTCATTTGCATACTAAGTGGCTAATTATTTTTTTTTGCGGCCAATAGGCAGGTATGTGGAGCAGTGTGAAAGCGGTCATCAGTCTTGAACTGCATCCAAACACAATCACCGCTGAATGGAGGACACACGTCAGATTGTCTGTCAGTAATTTAACCTCAGTGAGAGGAAATTAGCCTAATTAAACCTAATAACAGCACACGTCATGCGTCTCCTATATAGACACATCACATTCATGCATATGCAAATTCTCTCTTCTGCGCTTCAGAAATAAATCAGCCAATAAATGCACGCATGTTTGGTTTATGCATGATGTTCTACATTTGACAAACTGTGGTTTTTATGATAAGAAATTGCATCATGAAATATTATATTCGCATTTATATGTTATATGTTTTTCATTTTAAATGCAATGTTTGTGAGCTCGCATGTCAGGTAAAATAAGGCAAATAATGAATCTTTTTTATTATAATTTGAACAGACTTTCAAATATAACTTTCAAAATACTTGAAAAGGCAATATATTCATTCATTCAT